CTAGTCCCTACTCTGGAAGGGAACCTGTATTTATCCTACCGCCATGCAGTGTGAAGAACACGGTTTACAAAGTCAAGTCACAACGAATCTACTTGATAAAAATTTGCTACAGAAAAAGGGTATATTTTAAGATAATGGATTACCTATTAACATTAGGGTGCTTTTATTTTAGTAATTCTATTTACTCAATTCAGGTTTTCAATTTAATGAAACACATATTGATTTGATACAGACCAATGTTTTTCAAGCCTTTCTATCTGAAAATTACAATAATTTGCTACTTAATGGAAACGCTGCAAAATTGACAGGAATAGAGGTTGCTTCAAAACTTCTGCATTGTGCAAAAAGCAACACTTTAAAGTTAAAAGTTTTCCCACTTTTATTAAACACTTTCCATGTTATTAGAAGTCAGACAATCTGTACTTTCTACTGTAGAGCTTCTCTTCCAGTCATCTCCAGGCTTATGGAAACATGCTGAACATACTGAGTCTGTCAGGCGCTCTGCCCTTACTGCAGTGCAGCTGTCAGTCATCATGTCATCGATTGGTTCCTTGGCCGTAGAAGATATTGCTCCGCATGAGGGGATTAAAATAAAACTGTGTTCAGTCAGCCAGACAGCATAGAGTACAACCTTAGTCTATCAGATGTGTGTTTTACATGCTTCTCAGTTTATATGGGTCAGATTTTCCACAAAGTCTGTGATGGGGATCCAGAATTCAGAGAAAATAAAGCTTCCCAATCTTTCTTTCTATTAACTCCCCTGCCAGATGTGCTGCAAACCTTTGCATCCATCATTTACACATGCGTGTCCATGACACATCCAAACATTTGCACTCGGCCACCAAGTGACACTTCCATATAATAATGGCTTTGGTTATTCTGTGCTTTATCCTTAATAAATGTTTTTTATATATAAACCTTCATTCTTTGTTATTATACTGAGCAAGTCATAACACTTATGCACACACTTACTTTTTTCTAATTATCATATATCTTTGATTTAATGCTACAGGTAATAAAAAAAAAAAAAAACTATATCTACACCTAATATTTAAAAATGTGGACCACAGCTCTGGAATACAGAATGGATGTAAAATATATAATAGAGGCTGAAATAACTTCAATTCTCTGAAGACAGACAAATGTCTTCCTCTTCACCTCATCGACCATTTCAGACACTTTGATTTGTTCATTTCATTTATGTTCCGTTCCCAAGTCCTCCCATTACAAGTTCTCCCTTTCCAAGTCATATTCCAAGTCCTCCCATTTCAAGTCCTCCCATTCCAAGGCCTCCCATTCCAATTCCTCCCATTCCAAGGCCTCCCATTCTAAGTCCTCCCTTTCCAAGTCCTCCCATTCCAAGTCCTCCCATTTCAAGTCCTCCCTTTCCAAGTCACATTCCAAGTCCTCCCATTCCAAGGCCTTCCTTTGCAAGTCCTCTCATTCCAAGTCCTCCCATTCCAAGGCCTTCCTTTGCAAGTCCTCCCATTCCAAGTCCTCCTTTTCCAAGTCACATTCCACATCCTCCCATTCCAAGTCCTTCCATTCCAAGTCCTCCTTTTCCAAGTCACATTCCACATCCTCCCATTCCAAGGCCTTCTTTTGCAAGGCCTCCCATTCCAAGTCCTCCCATTCCAAGGCCTCCCTTTCCAAGTCCTCTCATTCCAAGTCCTCCCATTCCAAGGCCTTCCTTTGCAAGTCCTTCCATTCCAAGTCCTCCCTTTCCAAGTCCTTCCATTCCAAGGCCTCATTAGAGGGACGTTTATCAACAGGGAGACACTTTACCTGGTTTTTATTTAAATCATATACTTTGTTCAGAGCTCTCCTGCAGAGATATCTCTTTCAAATGTGTTTGTTTTGCAGTGGTAAACAGGGTTATTATGTCTCCCTTTGATATTTCTGACTTCCTCTCAGCAACATCATTCAGTCCTACAATGTGGATGACTAAGTACTGACTAAGTGCCATACTACAGCTAACATTCACTGGTTCTGTTTTTTTCTTCTTGCAGACTAATTTAATCTCATTCACTGCCAGGACTAGTGCATACTTGCTGAGGACCCAAATGCAGCTGAAGATGATTTCTGGCTAATTTAATGAGGAGGTAAAAAAACAGAAGCCATAATAAAACCTGAAAACTGATCAACAAAAAAACTCAAGAACATAAAAGTAGGAGACAGTAGGGAGGAATAAATGTAAGGGATGCATGAATGAAGCAATGAAGAGAATCCATCAGTAACTGCAGGGGAGTAGAAATGCCAAACACAACAATGAATGGACTAATCAACTGATTGGGAGCAGGCATGGACAGAAGGATCTAGAAGGGAGCCAGGGGAAACGAGACTGGCACAAGGGGGCAGCAGAGAGTGAACAAGAAATACATAAGAACTCAAATACAACCAGAAAACAACTAGAATGATACAAAATGGAAATGAAACCAAGGAAATAGAAAACATGGAATGACATAAATCAAAGTTTATCTGAAAACCCAAAAAGAAAACCTATCATGACATTTACTGCATCATCAATGACTATAAATGTTCTAAGCTCAGCAGGTGGTTTATTATGAGGCTGTTTGAGGGAGACCTGAATGTCCTCATACCTTCCTCCATTGTCTAGAAACAGGCTGTTCTCCTCAGGGTCATTCTTTTAAAGCAGTAAACCTGTTTTTCACTCATCTCAGTTTGTCCTTCCTTATCCGTTGTTTTGGAACAAACGGCTTTGTGCAACTTTCGATGGTTAGAGTAGAATACATGTTGCTCTAAAGTCTCAGGCAGGTTTTATCATCTAGATGTGCTGTCAGATTGTTTGTTCTTTGGGGCTTTGCTCCAAGAGTTTCCCAGGAAGGACTACCAGTCTGGTTTTTGTCATTAGAATCATTTCCTCGTTTCTTGGTTCCCTTGGTTAGTTGTTGTTCAACATGTTGCTGTTTAAAATCGCTGTTGGGGTTATCTCAGTGTTTTGAGACATCATCAGGGTCAACACTGGCAGGGTCATATCATTTCCATAACCAGCATGGGGTGTGGATTTATTTTGTTACAAACATCCAGTGAACATTTCATCTCAATAGCACCTCTAGAAATATACAGCTCCTTCTCACAATATTAGCATATTGTAATAAAGTTCATTATTTTCCATAATATAATGATAAAACTTGGACATTCATATATTTTAGATTCATTGCACCAAACTGGTTGTCCTGACTGGTTAGACTTGGTCTCCTCCCAGTCTGCTTTAGCATCACCATCTGATGACTCGCTACTCGTGTCTCCATTCTGAGGGTTGATGTCTCGCTCATTAAGACCTTAAGTTGCTCTTACTCACATCCTAATTCTTCTTTATTCTTTGCGTAACTGGGCGTGTTTTTATTTTGCAATGCAGCTTTCAGATTATTAAGTTGAGAACAGCAGGTTATCTACAGCTATGAAGAAACATTTTCATAAGTTTATTGAGTAACAGTGTTTTATTTAAAATCTCTTCAGCATGAGAGGCCAGGCCAAGACAGCAGCAGCATATAAGATACAACAAACATTAAAACTCTCACCTAGAATATTTAGACACAGATATAGTTAAATTAATTGTTTTAAGAAGGATTTTAAATTCTCTGAGCGTCAGATGAGCCTGGATGTGAAGCTCAGACTTTATTTCAATCCTGAAAACCTGAAACATTTCTTGCTCCCTTCAGTTTGTACAATGAGAACAAAAAAAACGTTATAACGGTTAAAACTTCCTTTCTTTCTGCTTAAAAGACCGGAGGTGATGAGAGACATTAGGACTTTAGCTAAAGTTACATTATTGTTGGACAACATGGATAAAGCTGTTAGAGAAGTGGACAGATAGCTGCGCTGAAGGAGCAGAGAAGATCTTTACTTTAGATCTTTCATTCCAACATATTTAAGAATATTTAACCATCACCGCTTTCAACTTACATCCTTTACTTTATCATTCTTTTTTTAATGTACTGTATAATCTGTTCTTGTTTTTAGATGTGCAGATATACGACTACATTTAGTAATTCTTCCAAATCACACTAAACAGTCACAGATTTCTATGCTATCTATTATAAATGTTCTATAGATGTTGTTCTTATGCTGTAAATGTATCCTGACTGGTTTATTATTCTTATCTCCAGAGCCTCAAACTAAACTTAAACTCTCAGTTAGACGCAGTAATTAGAGGCAGTAACATTCGCTGATGATCAGTGAATCTGAAGCTTTGGGTTAAACTGTGTCCTGCTGTGACTCATGACGAAGTTTTTATGGTTTCATTTTTGTTTATTAGATAAGAACAGTGTTGATTCTTCACTGGTTTCTGTACAGCAGAGGTTGGAGTAACCTGGACCAGAATCAACAATAAATCTGGATCCAGGCTCAGAATGAGCTCCTTGATATGTGCTTGAGAATGGCTTAGTCTCCGGTTAAACCCAGGTTTAAAGCCTTGCAGGGCAGCCTAAAGCCCACTGCCAACATTAAGACAGAAAAAAGAAAGAAAATAACAAACCATCAGTTCAGGTGTTTGAGAAAATATGGGAATCAGGAAATTATCTATAAACCAAACTGAACAAGTGTTTTTCTCTACTTCAGAAAGCACTTTAGATTTTGAAAATGGAAAATTTTTCATTTTTTTTATATTGTTTAATTTAAATTTCAATGTATAACATGGATG